AGGAGAAGGCTGGAAGCATTGTAGATGTAATGTCTGAGAGCAATGTGTGATGTGAATATAATGCATACAATTCGCAGTCTGAAACTTAGGAAAAGGTGTGGGATTGCCAAAACTGTTGTCCAGAGGGTTGAGGAAGCATTCTTGAGGTGGTTCAGACATGTAGACAGAATGGACCAAAACAGAATTACTTCAAGAGTGTATCAGCCTGTAGTGCAAGGAAAACGGGTTAAGGGTCAGCCTAGGAAAGGTTGGCGGGAGGAAGAGATGGGGTTAACGAGGTTTTGTGTGCGAGGGGCTTGGACTTCCACGAGGCATGCGTGAACGTGTTTGATACGAGTGAATGGAGACAAATGGTTTTTAATATCTCGTGTGCTGTTGGAGTGTGACCAAACTAACATTTATCGAGGGATTCAGGGAAACCGGCAAGCTGGAAAAGAGTTCTAGAGATGGCAAGTACAGTGCCTCCACTCTGAAGGAGGTGTGTAAATTTGGCAGTTTAAAAAATGTAGTGCAAAGCACCCTTCTGTCAAGACATTGACAGAGTGAATGATGCTCAGATCATTTCTCTTTCGGGCCACCCTGCCTTAGGTGGTAATCACCAAGTGTGCTAATAAACAACAAATATTTGTCAAAGTGCCAAGTCAAAATGTGCATGGATATTGTGCAAAAGATGGCAAAGAGAAAATTGTGCATGTTATGAATGACAAAATGATGCATGTCCTGCCTTTAATTGAAACAAAGCTCAAGTGGGCGAGTCTCATTCAAGAGGAATAAGTGGCATTAGATCAGGGGTTTCAAATACAGTTAGAGCTAAAGAAAGAGTAGCAATAATGTTGAAAGATAAGATATGGCAGGAAAACAAAGACTATAAATATATTCATTCAAGGATTATGTGGAGTAAAATAAAAGTTCAATGTGAAAAGTGCATTATACTAAGCATATATGCACCTGCACAAGAGAAAAGTGTACAGGACACAAACAAATACATTTTGGGGAAATGTTGACTGAATGCATAGAGAGTTTTGAACAAAGTGTGAGACTACTTGTCATTAGAGATTTTAATGCTAAAGTGGTTACAAATATTGTGCATGGATTAGTAGGTAAATTTAGGGTGCCAGGGGTAAATGTAAATGGGGACCCTTTAATTGAACTATGTGTACAAAGAGATTTGGTAATAAGTAATACATATTTTATGAAAAAGACTATAAATAAATAAACAAGATATAATGTAACACGTAATGAAATTACTTTGTTACATTATGTATTGGTGGATAAAAGGTTCATGTGTAGGCTCCGGGACGTACATGTTTATAGACAGGCACTTGATACTATATCACATCATTATTTAGTTATAGCTACAGTTAGAGTAATAAGTAGATGGAACAAGAGGAAGGTGGCAATAATTACGAGGCAAGTTAAAGTGTATAAACTAAGGGAGGAGCAAGTTCGGGTGAGATATAAGCGACTATTGGCAGAAAGGTGGCCTAGTGCAGAGATAAGTATTAGGGGGGTTCAAGAGCATTGAATAAGTTTTACAAATGCATTAACAGAATGTGGGGCACAAGTTTGATGTTATAGGAGAGTGGGGGCAGAAGGAAACAAGATTAACTAGTGAAATGATCAAGTAAAGATTGTGATAAAAGAGAAAAAGTTAGCTTATCACAGATTTTTACAAAGCATAAGTGTTATAAGAAGAGCAGAGTATATGGAGATTAAAACAAAGGTCAAGACAGTGGTGAGAGAGTGCAAAAGGACACCAGATGATAGAATGGGAGAGGAACTGTCAAGAAATTTTAATGAAAAAAATAAAAACAATTTTTGGAGTTAAATAACTCAAAAAACCCTAGGAACGTATGGACTTGTCAGTTAAAACAGAGTACGGGAGTTAGTAGATGGGGACAGGGAGGTATTAGGTAGATGGCAAGAATATTTTGAGCAACTTTTAAATGTTAAGGAAGAAAGGGACACAGTAATTTCATGCACTGGCCAGGAAGGTAGGATACCATCTTTTACAAGTGAACAAGAGCAGTGTGTAACGGTGGGGGAGGTACGTGAGACATTACGTACAATCAAAGGGGCTAAAGCACCTGCAACTGATGGAATCATAACAAAAATGTTAAAACCAAGGGGACACATACTGTTCAATTGGTTAGTACTTTTCTTTAATAAACGTACAAAAGAAGGGAAGGTACCTAGGGATTACCCAACACCACGTAATATAGTCCCTTTACACAAAGGCAAGGCGGACAAAAGAGATTGTAAAAATTATAGAGCAAAAAATTTACTGATTATACCACAAAAAGTATACAGTAGGTCCATAATTGAAATAATTACAGATAAGACAGAATGTAGAATTGCAGATGAATAAGCAGGTTTCACAGTGGGTAGGGCATGTGTACATCAAGTGTTTACATTCAAACATATATGTGAACAGTATTGACATAAAGGTAGGCAAGTTTTTATTGCATTTATGAATTTAGAAAAGGCATATGATAGAGTGGATAGGGTAGCAATGTGGCACATGTTGAAAGTAGTAGTATATGTAATAGATGGTAAGTTACTGAGTGCTCTAAAGAGTCTTTATGAGGATAGACAGGCTCAGGTTAGGGTGTGTAGAATAGACAGAGACGACTTCCCAGTAATACTAGGTCTTAGACAGGGATGTGTAATGTCACCCTGATTGTTTAATATATTTATAGATGGGGTTGTAAAACAACTAAGTGCTATGGTGCTGAGGACAAGCGTGGGATTCAATTATGGGAAATCAAATACAAAATGGGAATTGATACATCTACTTTTTGCTGATGATACTGTGCTTAGGGGAGAGTCTAAAGAAATATTGCAAAGTGAACAAACAAAAGACTAAGGTGATGAGGATATCAAATGATTTCAATAACAAAAATCTGGATATCAAATTGGGGAGGAGGAATATGGAAGAAATCAAAGTTTTCAGATATACTTGGGAGTTGACATCTCGGCACGTGGATTTATAAAGGACGAGGTTAATCGTACAATTCATGAGGGACAAAAAATGAATGGTGCATTGACTTACATGTTGAGTCAAAAAACGTTATGTATGGAGGCAAAGAAGGGAATGTATCAAAGTACAGTACTACAAACACTCTTATATGGGTGTGAAGCTTGGGTAGTGAATACAGCACCAAGGAGGCAGTTGGAGGAACTGGACATGTCCTATCTAAGGCCAATCTGTGGTGTAAATATTATGCATAAAATTACGAGTGTGCAAATTAGGAGAAGGTGTGCAGTTAATGAGAGTATTAGTCACAGGGCTTGTTGACATGGTTCAGTCATTTACAAACAATGGATCAAAGTACAATGACATGGAGAGCATTTCAATCTGTAAGAGAAGAAAGGCGGCCTAGGGGTCATCCTCGAAAAGGTTCAAAGAAAGGGGTAATGCAGGTTTTGTGGGCAAGGGGCTTGGACTTCTAGCAGGCGTGCATGAGCGTGTTCAATACGAGCGAATGCAGACAAATGGTATTTGGGACCTGACGTTCTCTTCCAGTACAAGCAGGGTAATATTTAGTGAAGGGATTCAGGGAAACCAGTTATTTTTATATAGCCATACTCGAGTCCTGGAAATGGCAAGTACAATGCCTGCACTCTACAGGAGGGGTTTCGGGATACTGGCAGTTTCCAGGGATATGTTGTGTATCTTTGTACATATATGCTTCTAAACTATTGTGTTCTGAGCACCTCTGCAAAAACAGTGATTATGTGTGAGGTGAAATTGTTGAATGATGATCAAAGTATTTTCTTTTTGTGCATTTTCTTTCTTTTTCGGTCACCCTGCCTCAGTGGGAGACAGCCCACTTGTTCAAAACAAAAAAATAAATAATAAAAATATTACTATGCATATTATATTATTATTATATGTATTGCTATTATTCATATTATTATTATTATTATTATTATTATTATTATTATTATTATTATTATTATTATTATTATTATATAAATTATTTGTAATTTTTATCCACAAAAAAAATTTAAGATTTACTGTTATTCCTTATTACAATAATTGTATAAATATGTCAACCCATTCACAAATACATTTGTTTACTCTGAAACAGAAAAACACTGGACCATCTCTCCTACGTTCAGCTCAATTTCAAGTTATGTAGTACTTATCGTCATGAGAGAAATCAATGTCATATCCACTTCTGTAATATATCTTCCATTCTATCAAATCAGACCAAAACAACGAGAATGCAACCATAAAATCCATCCAAAATTACCATTAAGGGGTGGCTAATTGCTGACAGGTCAACTCCATTATTTATGCTCGCATTTCTTTCATTTTTGGTTTACGTTAACGAGCGTCTTTCTGTCGCACGTTGCCCAACTTTCAATGACGTACTCCGACAAACGACTGACGTTCAATTCCCGACATCGAGAGCAACGGCCCCTCCCCAGCGTCGAGGAACCTGCCTTCGGATCTGCTCGCTTCTGGAAATTTTGCTCGCGTATCCGAGTAAAAAATCGACCCGTCGACTGCTCGTATTTGGAAAAACTCGGACGTGGACGCGCTCGCAAGTAGACGTTCCGCTCTATTGGCAACTTTCGAGACGATGCAAATATTGCTGATTGCCCAATTCAGAGCAGGAGAAATATCACAATTGCAACATAGCTCACATTCAGCCTGTAAATTACTGGGAATGCCTACAACTACAGACAACAAAATACTACTATATCGAAAATATCTACTCAAAGTCGCTGTCCAAAATCTGCCGTAACAACATACTACTGAAAGTGATATGGGAGCAAGTGTAAAATCAACACAATGCATCCAGGGTCCCAAACTATTTTTACCAAATGATTCACAATAAATTTGCCTAATCAAAGACTCAACAAGACAAAAAGGAATAAAGTCCACATTATGAAAGTTAAGATACACGTGCAATATCTGGATATCTTTATTGTAGACATTCCGCCATCCAGTGGCTTTATCAATACAGATTCTAGGACATAATAGGAAGACAGTACAACTATATAAAAAAGATGAGGTAATCAGTCCCTCAGCCTTGGAGTAACTGTTCACAGCATCATGAAATCTTGCTGCAACTAACCCATCTCTTTGGGAAGGACCTACTTCCACTGGGGAATCCCGCCTACCAGTGTCTATGCCCTCTTCTGCTGCCCGTCCCTATCCACTAACGCCTATATAACCACCACTCTTCTTGCCTTTGCTCCAGATTCTCCTCCACCATGATGCTGTCAACACTAACTCCAAGGCCGAGGGACTGATTACCTCATCTTTTGTATATACTTCTACTGTCTTCCTATTATGTCCTAGAATCTGTATTGATAAAGCCACTGGATGGCGAAACGTCTACAATAAAGATATCCAGATGTTGCACGTGTGTCTTAACTTTCATATTGTCGATATTTTATACCTCTCTTGCACAAAGTCCACATTGCAAATTCTTTGTCTTGCATCAAAAGTACATACGTGCCCGCCCATTATTTTCAACGTATTCAAATCAAAATGACGCGTGACATTTACTTGCAACATTACAAAATATTTACGCAACAATTTCAATTCTTACTATTCACACTTGCACAAAATACCATGTTTGTTTATATACAAATATCATCGACAAATTATGTAGCCTTACGTCACCTTCCAAGTGAACGACGTCAATTCGACTAGATCGTCCAAATTTCTCGAGCAAATCTTACAAACGTTGTCTGTACATCCAAAGGACGAAAAAAGTGGTGCTAACAAACTGTGACAGACTCCACACTACATTACAACTGACCTAGACCCACAGTAAGTATGTATGTGCACTTAACACAACCTAACAAATGTTTACCCATAACCCCAAATACCAAGCTCCTTTGCAAAATTACTTCATCAAATCCTGCCACATACAGTGGACAACAAAACGCACTGGCTAAGCACACGTACTTATCGCAGGTCTAGCTCTGTGGTACTGTGGACTCTGGTACAGACCCGGTTATCGCGACCCGAGTCCTCCTTTGTAAATAATACGCCTCTTTGCAAATTCTTAACCACATATTACAATGTAAAATACTACAACTTTGTAACACACCTTGCCTGTAATATCCAATATTACAAATTCTCAGTACATAACAATTTTAACAAAACACAAACATGCCTCATTAAAACAAACTGACACAAATTCAAAGTTGAATCTTTACACATAATTCAGTCCAACAACAATAAATTTAATCAATCAACTTTCCAAACTTTACATAATAAAAATATTAACTTTTACAACAAATGATACTAATTGTTTCATAAAAAAAATGGCTGCTCACTCATTTTTCCTCATTTCTATTCATTGAAATGCAATTCATTAATTCATTCAAATGAAATTCCATGCACAACAAATTACTTTGACAATTTGCCTACTTTCAACTCTACACTTTATTTATCTACAATAATTCATCTAATAGGACTAAATCAATAACGTCAAAACGCTACGTACGACGATAACGACCACTTTTCGTATTGACCTTCCTGGGACCGCCGCACCACCCACCCCTACACGCGTACACAAAAACTCTAATGACCACAACAAATCACACAATTCGACTTATAATTCCTACACTCTTAATGACACCCTAACCAAATCTTTCTTCGTCCTCCACCTACTTTATTTATCCGTTATTTCCTCCAGCTTTAACTCCGTGTACGTAATTGATCCTCTCGTTCTTCTCGGTACTGTCCTTTACGCTTACTTGACACGTAAATGAGACACGATCGTTACTTGATTCACTCCACCGCTCGTGCGCTAGACTGTTACAAAATAACCCGCACATAACAGATACCAGCTTACTACAATGTTTCACTCTAACTTGGACCATTTACAAAATCACACTAATGATAAGTGGAGAATGACAGGTATATATAGGCAGCAAGAGGTAGGGGTAGTGTGAAATTAAGGAATACAAGGAGGAGGACGAGGAGTAGAAGCCAATCGAATAAAAAAAAAAGGTCAAGCACTGCAAGGGACCTAGGTGCCCACACAAGCAGACCAACAACACACAGGTAAGGAGGGAGAGGGAAGGTAATGAAATCAATAAATAACTAATAGAAACAAAAGAAAAAACAAACAAAGACAACCCACAAGACAAAACAAAAATCCAAAGACAAAAGGGTAAGAGGGAGAAAAAGAAAAAGGAGTAATCAGATCAAGTCGCACATCTTGTCAAGTTTGCATCATTTTTCCAATGTGGTGAAAGAGGAATGCATCTACACAAACCCACAACTCAAATTCATACAACTTTTTTATTAGGATAATTCAACAACACAACAACTGTTAATTAAATTTGCAAGTAGGTAAGACAGTTTTAGCACAAGACCAATCGATAGCATGGCTGTCATCTCTGACGAGACACAAAAGAGCATTAGTAGTGTGGGCAAGCCTAAAACTATTTTTGTGCTCCACAATTCTGTCAGAAACACATCGACCAGTTTCCCCAAAGTATTCGAGAGGACCGACAAATACAGTAGACGCCGCGAACGTCCGTATGCGGAGAAAACGTATCGGTGAGATTAGTACGCGCAGTGTTTCTTTGTCGATCTGATGGAAAGTAAGCTTCGTGTCTAAGGGACGGAGACAATTGTTGAGATTATTTGAAAGACCTGAAATGTAAGGAAGGTAGACGACACGAGAGTTCCCACGACTATCGATTTGGGAGATAAACAATTACGTTTAGCACGTCAGAGAGCAGAGTCATTGAAATGAGAAGGGTGGCTAAAAAAAAAATTATAAAGACTACAAATTTCAGCTGCAACAAACTGAGTATCACACATGCAGAGGGCACAGAGAAAGACGTAGATAACAAAACTTTTCTTGACATGATATGAAAAGTTGTGAATGTACATGCCACTGTGCAGAGGTCTGCACTACACGAAAAAGGAAAAACCTGTATCTGAGCGGTGGACAGGGACATCGAGGAAAGCAACAACACAATTACATTCCCGTTCAGTTACGTGACTAGACTGCCATCGCGTGGCGGAAATCGCGCACTCTCTTATACGCAACGTCTGCCACCCCGACCTCGTCGTGTCTACGCCCACTTTTCCTACTGCCGTCTTCGACAACTTCCCAATGTGTCGACATTCGAGTGCACTGCCAACCGTACGGACACTCGACAATAACTAAATTTGTTTATTCCCAAACAAACATCACCCACCAATCAAACATTTCTGCCACTTTAACCTCAATTTCAAATGACTTTTCACCATCATCAAAAAGAAAATCATATAAAATTTCTTTAATATATCTTTAAGACCCAAAAAACGACAATACAATACAATCATAAAAACCATACCAAAATATACAACTATAGTGATACCAATCAATAGGACAATACACTGTTATTGTAGTAGCAACTAACCAGTAATATAATCATACTGAGTCAACAGACTTTTTTCTCCATTCTTCAAATACCAAATGTATACAATCAAATTCATAAAACCTCTAGTTACCAGAGGTCGCAATATACACAATGAAAAGCCAATATTACTCCACAACAAGCATATTTCCTCCAACAATTTCACACATAAAGTATATTGATAATATAGCATTTCTTGTGGTGGAGACAGAAAAAAGCTAGGAAAGCTAGATACAGCAATCGATAATTCTTTGGACTGTAAATGAGGGTCTCGACCCTCCGTCGTCGTAGCAGCTGCCGCCAAACTCCGGTTCTTCAACACGCAACTTATACTTTCGTATCGATCTAATCGCATATTACTCGCTTAAATAATTTCCACTAGTTCCTTCGTGTCTTCCCCCAAACCACCGACGACCACGCTCGTCAGATCCGACTGCTTCCGAACCCTCGACCGCTTTCGCACGGATTCCTTGGACAATAAAGCAGACTGTAAACACACGGGGTTTTAGACACCCTTATCAAAAATAAATAATACATGTAAAGCACAAACATACACCGATAAGCTGCCCTAATATACAAGTACGGTTTGAAATGTAAATACAATTGGCCAAATCTTCAATTTAAGGATATTATTACTACAATATCCAAAGGGTTACTATTACAGTTATACTAAATCAAACATTCAAATCACATTATCAACCTAAAATTGTTGTCACACACCTTGTGCAGATATCCAACAACTATCTACAAGCAGTACGGTGGACCCCCGGATAACGATCGCCTCCCAACTCGACTAATTATCTAAGTTTATTTTTCTTAGTGCTTTTGTAGGTGTATTTTTAGGGGTCTGAAATGGACTAATCTAATTCACAATATTTCTTATGGGAACAAATTCGGTCTATAACGGCACCCAAACAGACTTCTGGATTGAAATAATATCGTTATGCGGGGGTCCACTGTATTAAATTACCAACGTGTTTTTGGTTATGCCCAAATGACATCAATCTGTGGATTAAAATCACATTGGTATTAAAACAGGACAACATCAAAGCAGCCTTCATAGAAAAACTACAAGCATTCTATAACAGACAGCAAAACAAAAACTCTGGATACGATGGTATCGCCCTTGCTGCTGGTCGGGTACTCGGAAGATGTGAGGCCGGACGTGATGTCCAGATAGTCGGTAAATGTACGTACGAGAGACTGCACATTAATGACCTCGACACAGACAGCAGCTCTACTGGGGAAACAAATGTACTCAAGTACAAGATAAAACCAATATTACTAATACCACATAAGATAGTAAACAAGGGGACTCCACTAGCAATAGTAAGGATATATAACCACAAACAACTCTTGACAGCTCTATTGTTAGTACTAGTGATGATATCAATGAGACAGCAAAGCATGCACCGACAGAGAATACACTCGCAGAAACCCAACACAAACGGAAACTGAGCCTCTGCACTTGGTATCCACAGGCGTGTCAAATCTGCAAAAACAGATGCGACGTGCAACTGTGACCGCCCTACAAAATGCCGTGCCCGTGTGACGACGGGAAAATTCAAACTCTTCCTCCAACATTTTTCACCACAAAACATGTACCTCTTCAGTACAGGAAAGACTATGCTATAACTCAAACTACCAGCCACAAAATCTAAATGGGACAAAAACATACATACATACATACAAAACATCCAGGCCATGCAAAAACATGGGTACCCACAACCACTCAAGAGGGACAGATTTTTAGTGCCAGGAAAGAAAAAAAATTGGCAGGAAATGGCAGAAATCGTCTGCCAAATCCAGTCATTTCTCAAATAGAACCACAGTCGATGGCCTCCACTCCAAACCAACAGTTACAGATATTAGTGCCAGAAAAAAAAATCCCCCCCCCCCCCAGTAACACCAATACCACCAGTCCAATGACAATCTTCTTTGCAAACAAACATACAATAAAAACAAAATACCTTTCCTCCGTGGACTGCAATGTTCGTACCTTTCACAGACAGAGACCCACATAAAGGACCACTTCGACAACAAAATATGGATCCCAGTTTACAACCTATACAGATTTAACAGAGTCAACAGGCAAAAGGTATGTGGGGGGGGAAAGAGGGGGGAATTCGCCTGTATATTGCACAGTCACATGGTTGCACACAACTGCTTAATGCCTCAAATGATGTAGTAGTGTAACTTTTAACAGTAAATATCAAAAAACAAAACTAGTCATTGTGGTAGCCTACAAGCCTCCAGATGCAACGTCCCAGCAATTCCAAAAACAGCTAGCTGTCTGAATTTGACCACTATCTGCAAATTTTGCCACCTCCGGCCCCAAACTTCTTCTTCCTGCGGGATTTCAACTTGAGGCACCTAAAATAGAGCAATATAGCAAATAATGTTGTTGCAGTGATAACAACAAGAGGAACCTCTGACAACAACTCACACACACACGACCTCTTAAATCTCTGGACAATACATTAAACCTCATCTTCACTAAAAATTATCATCTGATACAAAATGTCAACGTATCAAAAACAATATACTCGCATCGCAATACAATCGAGCCCCAGACCGACAAAATGACATTAGTCACGAGGGAGCCTTCACCAAATTCAACTTCAATAACAACAACATAAACTGGGACTAAAATAAATCAAGTCCTAAACAATATAAGCTGGTAAAATAAGCTAAGCAACACAGACCCAAACTTATGCCTACGACAGATTAACTAGGAGCCACTCCATGTATGCTCGACGCTTATTCCTTTAACAAAAAGGAGGAGTACCTGTAAAATACAGAGAGACAGGCACTCCCTTTGCAGGCGACAAAAAAGAATAACGTAACGGCTAAGAGAGGCCAATGTATCTGAAATGCGTTGGGAGTCACTTGTCAGACAAATAGCAAACGTCCAACTTAAGCAAAACAAATCTTATACGAGTCAGGAATCACAGCGACAACTAAAAGACGTCCGTGAAATCGAAAGAAACCCAAACTATCTCTTTCCTTATGCCAAATCAAAGTCGACAGCAACGTCCATTACTGGGCCCATACTTAACCGAGACCAGTCCTACACAGACGACAGCGATGAAATGACTCGGCTACTCGAGTCCCAATATGACTAGTCACTTTTTAGCGAGCCAATAACCAGACTCAGAGTCCAAGATCAAAATGATTTTTTATGAGCCAAAAAATTGGCTTAACACAAACCTATCTATTTGAAATTATCCTAATGCCAAATGACTTCAAGCAGGCAATAAACGACATGCCCATGTACTCTGCTCCAGGGCCAAACTCGTGCAACTCCATCTTCGTCGACAACTGCAAGAAGCACCCGTCGTGAGATTTTACCACCCTATGGAGAGGGAGCATGGACACGGGGGTCATCCCACAGTTACTAAAAACAACAGACATAGCCCCACTCCACAAAGGGGGCAGCAAACAACTATAAACCCATACCACTAACATCCCATATCATACAAATCTTTCAAAGGGTCCTAAAAAGCAACATCGCCACCCATCACTTACAAAACCCAGGGCAACGTGGGTTTACAGAAGCAGTTTGCTCCTGTCTGTCTCAGCTACTGGTTCACTACAACAAGCTCCTAAATTTACTACAAGACAAAAATATTGCACATGTAATATATGCAGACTTTGCAAAAGCCTTCGACGAGCGTGACCGTGGCGTAATATGTACTGCACAAAATGCGTGCAAAAGGAATAACGCGAAAAGTGCGTAGATGGATCTACAGACATAACACAGAGAATACTAGTCAACGGAGTAGAGTTGAGGCAGTAACGGCAAAAAGCACTGTTCCGCAAGCCACAGTACTCGCTCCCGTTGTCGTATCTGACATAGACAGGGATGTAAGCCACAGCACCATGTCTTCCTTTGCACATGACACCTAAATCTGCACGACAGTGTCTTCCTTTGCATACACTGCAAGACTCCAGGCGGACATCGACCAAACCTTTCAGTGGGCTGCAAAAAACAATATCAAGTTCAATGATGACATTTTTCAATTACTCCAATTTGTTAAACAGGAGGAAATTAAAAGTACATCAGAGTACAAAACAAATTCCTTCCACAAAATAGAGTGAAAAACCAACGTCAAAGACCCGGGAGTGATCGTGTCGGACGATCTCGCCTTCGAGGACCGTAACGCTGTATCAATCGCATCTGCTACAAAAATGACACGATGGATAATGACAACCTTCAAAACTAGAGATGCCAAGCCCACGATGACACTCTTCACATCACTTGTCCTATCTAGGCAGGAATATTGCTGCACACTAACAAACAGCACCGGTGCTTTCAAGGTGGGTCAAATTGCTGACCTACAAAACGTAAACAGATCCTCCACGGCACACATAACAGAGATAAAACGCCTCAATTACTGGGAGTGCTTCAAGTTCCTGAACGTGTGTATTCCCTGGAACACAGGCGGGAGAGATGCATCGTTATATACGCCTGCAAAATCCTAGAGGGACCAGTACCAAACTTACACGTGAAAATCACTCGCGACGAAAGCGAAAGACTCGGCAGACGATGCGACATCCCCCCAATGAAAAGCAGGGGTGTCACTAGTACATTAAGACACAATACAAAAAGTGTCAGGGGCCCAAGACTTTTCAACTGCCTCCCAGCATACATGAGAGGGATTACAAATAAACCCCTGGCTGTCTACAAGCAGGCACTGGACAAGCACCTAAAATCGGTACCTGACCGGCCGGGCTGTGGCTCGTACGCTGGATTGCGTGCAACCACCGGTAATGGCCTGGTTCGTCAGGCTCGGATCCACCGGGAGGCCTGGTCACACACCGGGCCGCAGGGGCGTTGACCCACACAACTCTCTCCGGGTAAACTCGAGGTAACAAGAGGCTAATGACTGACAAGCCAACTCCCTTAATTATGCTCCATTTTCTTCCATTTCGGGCATACGCCAACGGACGTTTTTCAATCGTACGTTACGTTACCAAACTTTCAATACCAAAATCAGACAAACAAACAACCTCCTTTGACACCCACTCACATCACAAAATATCCCTCACATCCACAGACAAAAAATCTACCGACCAACTGCACGTAACTGTAAAGACTCGTACGAGGATGCACTCCAAACTAAAGGTTCCACTGTATGTACCTCATTTACCTTTTACATACATTAAAAACTACTGCAACATTTCCACAACTTACAATGACAACACTCAAACTTTCCAGATTTACACACTCACAATACTTTCCACAAACCAAAAATATTGAAAATAACTTTGACACCAAACAAAATATAACATTTTCATACAATTATTCAAAATGAAAATTTATTGACATTTTTTAATGCTTTAAATTCTTCAACGCTGTAATCAACACGGCTCAAGCTACACTTCATCACGACCACACTGAAACAATATTAGCCTCTAAATTTTTATTATTATAATCAAATAAAAAAATGCTAAACCACAACGGCTATACAGCACCGCAGGGCAGGGAAGAAAACGAAAGTATAGGGCGGCAAAAGGACAATTGGACGATTACAAAGCTACAGAAAACAGCAAGGCAGGGGATACTGAAAGGGAAAAGCATAGTAAGAGATTGAGGTACAAAGGGCTGAGAAAAGTGCTATTATTATCATCATCATGAGTTTCTGGACAAAGTCAGTTCTTGTGAAAAAGTCAATGACACAGTCAAAATGAAATGAGGCTCCATCACCAACAAGGCAAGGTAAAGAGAGAGCAGCAGAGCAAACACAACGTTGACAGCAGCAACGCGCCTCTCCGTAAGATATCCATCAGTAAGACTAGTGTGGCCAATGCAAACGCATAAGAGAGACTACTCTCGACACTGACGACCAGTCGTGGAAAACGAGTGAATGGCTGAACAGCCAGAGTTTAGTAGTTGACCTATATTCAGCTGACCGGTGTACAGTGAGAGAATCATAGCAGAAAACGCCAAATCTACCTATAAAACTCAAGAAAAGTCACGTTGTACGTGGCGTTTACTTCCCTCAGTGCTTTTCAAAATGGCTGAGACAGCAGACCAGGTCACGAGTCAACAACACGACACAACCCCCAATAAATAGAATTGAGAGTGATTTGGACAGATAAAACCGTTGATTAAAACTCTCTGGTCATGCACTGGCCTGGATAACATCCCGTACAAGTTCCTAAAAGATGGTGCTTCTGAACTGTCAATCCCTATTACTCACATCATAAATCTGTCAATCAACACTAATACCGTACCAGAGGGGTTCAAGGAGGCCAGAGTTACTCCTATCTTCAAGAAAAATAGTAGGTCTGATGTAAGCAACTATAGGCCTGTTAGTATACTCAGTATAATATCCAAAATTCTAGAGAGGGCGGTGTACTGTCAAGTAGCTAAGTACCTTAATGACAACAACATTCTCCGTAGCTAACAATCGGGCTTCACAACATCTTACTCAACCGACACCTCCCTAATTAATCTGATGGATTACCTGAGAACTGAAATGTCAATGGGGAACCTCACAGGTACAGTAAACCTAGACCTGCAAAAGGCCTTCAATACTGTCAACCACAATATATTATGTAAGAAACTTCAAGCTATTGGTATAAGTTCTGCACACTGGTTTAAGTCCTACCTTAGCAACAGCAGACAAACTGTTAAAATCAACAAAACGGAAACAGAACCGATAGCGTTTCGAGTTCCCCGAAGTAGCATTCTGGGTCCCTTATTATTCTTATGCTGTGTCATTTCATGCCTATGAGTGTCAAGTGCAAACTCCTACTGTATGAAGATGACAGTGCTCTGTTCTTGTCAGGTAAAGACCCACAAGATATAGCTAATGTATTAACACTGCAACTGGAGTCCTGCAGCAAATGGTTAGTAAAAAAAAAACTATCATTGCACCTAGGGAAAACTGAAGCCATTCTCTTTGGCACAAAACAAAAAGTGAGAAGCGTAAATAATTTTAACGTCCACGAGGAGCCCATCAATTTGATTTCATCAGTAAAATATCTGGGAATCCCCTTCGACCCATGCATGTCAGGAGAATTGATAAGGAACAGTGTAGTAAAGAAAGCGAATGCCAGAAAAAAGTTCCTCTATAGACAATCACAGTCTCTACCTACTGAGGCTCGCAGTACCCTATGTCTAGCCCTTATACAGTGTCATATGGATTACACTTGCTCTTCATGGTACTCTGCCTTGACAAAAAAACTGAAAGATAGACTGCAAATCACCCAGAACAAAATTGTAAGATTCATCCTAGACCTGGATCCAAGAGAGCATGTAGGACAGAATGAATTACAGCAGTTGGATATGTTGAATATTAAAGACAGAGTTAAAAATCTGAAGCTAAATCATGTTTATAAAATTGCTCACAAACAGTGTCCAAAATATCGTGCTGTCAATTTTGTCAAGGTTGGGAACCAAAGCAATCATAGTACTAAGGGGAGAGAGCACAACTTTGTAGTATCCACAGTCAGTGGCCAGGCTTCAAACACCTTTTATTGTACAGCAATAAAGGAATGGAACAGACTGCCTGTACATTTCAAAGCCAGTCATAGCATGAACCAGTTCAAGAAGAGTGCCAAAAGGTGTCTGATTAATGTAGCTACAGAAAGGGAGGGGAATGATTTTTTATTTTTAGCTAATACAAGTGTAATTTTATAGGTAGTAGGTTGGTAGACAGCAACCGCCCAGGGAGGTACTACCGTCCTGCCAAGTGAGTGTAAAAATGAAGCCTGTAATTGTTTTACACGATGGTAGGATTGCTGGTGTCTTTTTTTTTCTGTCTCATTCACATGCAAGATTTCAGGTACGTCTTGCTACTTCTACTTACACTTAGGTCACACTACACATACATGTACAAGCATATATATACACACACCCCTTTGGATTTTCTTCTATTTTCTTTCTAATTCTTGTTCTTGTTTATTTCCTCTTACCTCCATGGGGAAGTGGAACAGAATTCTTCCTCCATAAGCCATGCGTGTTGTAAGAGGCGACTAAAATGCCGGGAGCAAGTGGCTAGTAACCCCTTCTCCTGTATATATTACTAAATGTAAAAGGAGAAACTTTCCTTTTTTCTTTTGGGCCACCCCGCCTCGGTGGGATATGGCCGGTGTGTTGAAAGAAAGAAAGAAGTGTAATTTTACCTTATTCCTAGTAATGACCCTCGTATTGTAGATAGTCTTAATGACCCTCGTGTAGTAGATGGTCTTCTAGTATATTAATAAGATGTTATCTTCATTATACAATAATAAGAATCTATTATAACCTTTATATTATAATAATAAGGTAAAAGAACCCCAATGGAAATAAGTCACTCTGACTTTTTTAGGTTATCCTAGGTTCTTTGCACATATGCTGCTATGTATGATAATTCTATGTAACAGTATTTGTGTATGCCTGAATAAACTTACGTATTTACTTACGACACGACGACGGCCAATAACCTATACTCGGTTTAATACGACACAGTTTGTTATTCGGCAGAGCACGCCAACGTTCTTGTCGACGGGTGTCAAGGTCAGTAGCTATAACAGTAAAATAATCGACGAACGCAACACCTCTATATCAAACTGCAACGTCGTGTACTCTTCACCACACACCATTGTCTACCTCTTCATTGCCCAGTACATCAACATGACCAGGGACCCAACAAAAACCAATCCATTTATACTTGTTAGAGATAGAGTGTAACCAAATTTGGATACAGACAACTACGGGGAGAGGTGTATCAACTTTTTCTATAGCCTGTAAAGCACAGACAAACAGACAGACTCACTCTAAAACAACCACACATGATGACACAGTAAAAGGCACATTATACACTTCTTCTTTGACAAAACAAAAATCCAAGGGTGCTAACTCTATGGCACTTTCAAGAAAGAAATGAGGGCCATAGATGGAGCCCCTGAGAAATACAGACCAGATAATTGCCAATTTCAATGGCAACGTCAAGAGGGTTTGCTACGTCGACACCGGCAGCCCGGAGAATGGGAGCCGGGTCGGTAGACTATTTGCCACTCAATTTCCCCAATTTTTTCCAGACTGCATTCATTGACGAAGCACAGACGCTGGTGCAGACGTAATCTCGCCGGCAAGTGCATTTATCGTCGCAAATGACACGGCCAGCGACCGCACCCCTGCTTAAACTCAAAAATTCTCTCGACGCTTCTAACGTACCGATGCCTGCCCCACGCAGTGAATTTCGGATGTACTGCACGTGCACGAGCACGACACCACCCAGGCACGCACTTCTGACAATGCCTGCCTTAGGTTTGGGGTATACAATGACGAGTGGCACTTCAAACTGAGGACAACAAGAGGCGTAAAACCTCTTCAATGGAGAACAAACAAGTAACCTCATTAAAATCAATTACTTGTCAGTAAAGGTCCCAATTTGCTCCATTCAATTGCCAACGTGGCCTACAGAGAGGTGCTTAATATGAAGGACAAGTAAAACTGATTCAAAAATGATCGCTGCCATCTAATTCCAAGAGAACAGACTGGACAAACTCTAGTGCAGTGCAGCAACAGCACACTAACACATCAATGCAAGAGAGAGTATGAGTACAAGAATCAAAATGGGTTCAAGTACCTGTTTTTAAAACATGGACAGAGTAAGAAGCAAGAAAAGCCCCCAACTGAACAACACAGGAATCACAGCGAGACCCCCCCCCCCCCAAGTGGAAATAATGGTCATTAAAATCACAAAGTAACAAGTGGCGGCAGTAAGGACAAAACAAGAAAAGCAACATTCGGCACAGATAATGCTCCACAAAGAAAGAGATGCAAATAACAGAGTGTATACCACCTATGCAAGTGGATACAGTATGCTATGTAATGCAGCAAAGTACAAACAAATACCTGATGTTTTAAGACGGCAGACATTGCCATCTTCAAACGTATGTTTTGAGTTCCTCCACAATAACTTACTTTTCATGACACTATTTACAAAAATAGAATATCCATCTGTACATATACATGTACAAATGGATATTCTTAAGAGTAATGTTAAATTTGATAAAACCTAAAATCAATCACCAACGTCATTTAAACCTTACTAGACAGCTCAGGACTTTCAGGAAAGCACTGTCAATCTTTCGATTAATAATGTTGTACGCCTTCAGAAGATGACGCTGCATTGGGTAGTACAAGTCTTGTCTCCAATCTTTGCCAACTTTATACTGAAAACGAAAAAAAATTAAATTATTCTCTATTTTCATTTACAATGAATAAAGTCCAATAAAATTCATGTCACAACAATTCCATAAATTACAAATAAAAACTACACTACCGAGAGTGAGTGAGTGAGTGAGTGAGTGAGTGAGTCAGTGAGTGAGTGAGTGAGTGAGTGAGTGAGTGAGTGAGTCAGTCAGTCAGTCAGTCAGTCAGTCAGTCAGTCAGTCAGTCAGATCAGTCAGTCAGTCAGTCAGTCAGTCAGTCAGTCATCAGTCAGTCAGTCAGTCAGTCAGTCAGTCAGTCAGTCAGTCAGTCAGTCCAGTCAGTCAGTCAGGTCAGTCAGTCAGTCAGTCAGTCAGTCAGTCAGTCAGTCAGTCAGTCAGTCAGTCAGTCAGTCAGTCAGTCAGTCAGTCAGTCAGTCAGTCAGTCAGTCAGTCAGTCAGTCAGTCAGTCAGTCAGTCAGTCAGTCAGTCAGTCAGTCAGTCAGTCAGTCAGTCAGTCAGTCAGTCAGTCAGTCAGTCAGTCAGTCAGTCAGTCAGTAGTCAGTCAGTCAGTCAGTCAGTCAGTCAGTCAGTCAGTCAGTCAGTCAGTCAGTCAGTCAGTCATCAGTCAGTCATCAGTCAGTCAGTCAGTCAGTCAGTCAGTCAGTCAGTCAGTCAGTCAGTCAGTCAGTCAGTCAGTCAGTCAGTCAGTCAGTCAGTCAGTCAGTCAGTCAGTCAGTCAGTCAGTCAGTCAGTCAGTCAGTCAGTCAGTCAGTCAGTCAGTCAGTCAGTCAGTCAGTCAGTCAGTCTCAGTCAGTCAGTCAGTCTCAGTCAGTCATCAGTCTCAGTCAGTCAGTCAGTCTCAGTCAGTCAGTCTGTCTCAGTCAGTCAGTCCAGTCTCAGTCAGTCAGTCTCAGTCAGTCAGTCAGTCTCAGTCAGTCAGTCAGTCTCCAGTCAGTCAGTCAGTCCTCAGTCAGTCAGTCAGTCTCAGTCAGTCAGTCAGTCTCAGTCAGTCAGTCAGTCTCAGTCAGTCAGTCAGTCTCAGTCAGTCAGTCAGTCTCAGTCAGTCAGTCAGCTCAGTCGTCAGTCGTCTCAGTCAGTCAGTCAGTCTCAGTCAGTCAGTCAGTCTCAGTCAGTCAGTCAGTCTCAGTCAGTCAGTCAGTCTCAGTCAGTCAGTCAGTCTCAGTCAGTCAGTCAGTCTCAGTCAGTCAGTCAGTCTCAGTCAGTCAGTCAGTCTCAGTCAGTCAGTCAGTCTCAGTCAGTCAGTCAGTCTCAGTCAGTCAGTCAGTCTCAGTCAGTCAGTCAGTCAGTCTCAGTCAGTCAGTCAGTCTCAGTCAGTCAGTCAGTCTCAGTCAGTCAGTCAGTCAGTCTCAGTCAGTCAGTCTCAGTCAGTCAGTCTCAGTCAGTCAGTCTCAGTCAGTCAGTCAGTCAGAGTCAGTCAGTCAGAGTAAGTCAGTCAGAGTCAGTCAGTCAGTCAGAGTCAGTCAGTCAGTCAAACAGTCAGACATTTTACAAATTACTCATAAAATGTTCAATGCATGTATTTGTCAATTTTTTCCCCTCAAAACTAACAACTTAATCGTCTGTACGAAATAATATGTAAAATAACAAAGTACATTAGGTCCTCACTTAATGTCCTTTCGCTACGACGTCAATGACTGGCGGCAGATTCCCAGTCGGGGCCACTGCCTGTGTGGACTTGGTTTTTCAACTACCTCGTAGCAGGTGCTGCCCCTTACAATTTCCGCTCTGCAAACATTTATTCCTTGATTTAAACCTGTTGCAGTGATTGCTAAAGGTGCACTTGTGCAACTGTCATCTTTATATCAATTACAATTAAAACTGGTTTCATTATACATCAATCATTTCTCTTAAAGTTGCAGTGTCTAAAAATCTGAAAAACAAACAAACACTTTCACTATCACTCACTCCATCACTGTCTTACCAGAAGTACACTAATACAACAATTCAAAACTGCAATATCCCCAATCCTCCTCCTCCTTCACAGTGCAAGCACAGTACATACATACATCCCGCCTCCAGAATAAATTCCACATAACCAGTTTCCCAAAGTCCCTTTCTAAATGTTACTTTCATCACTCTCCAACTCATTTCACATCACAAAAACAACTTGTCTCCACTCACTCCTATCTAACACTCTCATACTCACTCAATGTCTAATCCCTTTCTCATAACCTCCTCCTCCTCCTTCCAACCTTTCCTACTATGACCCCTACCCTGCCTTCCCTCCACTACAGATTTATATGCCCTCGCGGTTATTCAGTTTGGTTCTGTCCTCTCTCGTCGTCCGAACCGCCTCGATGACCCCTCTTCCTTCCTCTGCGTGACGCTACGGTGGAACCTCTACTCGGGACTTTAATCCATTCCGTGACCTTGCCGGCAGATGGATTTGCTCGTTTGCAGAGTCAATTTTCCTCTTTTACGTTAATTGAAATGAAATTAATTCATTCCGGTGGAATTCCAGGCAAGAGAAAATACTTTAATAATTTCCCTAGTATCACCTCTACAACTTATTTATCTATCACAATTCATGAAATATGACATAATAAACAATATTAATAACATAGAAACATGACATATACACCAGAATGAGTAAAATACAAGTCATTAGGTTTGTGCCTACTGGTTGTGACAACAGCCACTGTTGTTGGATTTATAGGGCCACCACAGTGATCATTCCTTCTCCTGACTACATGTGTAAAGAACCTAGGAAAACCCAAAACAAACAATCAATCAGACAAATTAACTTATAATTGCTACACTCTTAATGCTACACTTTGCCACTGCTGCTTCATGTTGTTGCCACTACTGCTTCATGTTGTCTGCCACTCCTACCTCATCATGTCTACCACTGATGTCAGCAAAAAAACAAACATTTCTACAATTTTCAGCTCAATTTCAAAGTACTTTTAATGGTGAAACCAATTAAAATCAAATTTATTTTTGTACTATATTTTCCATTCTATTACACGAGACCAAATAAAACGTGAATACAACCTTAAAGCCGTACGAAAATAGACTGCTAAAAGGGAAGGTCAATGGCTGACAACTCCGTTATTTACGGTCCAATTTCTTTCATTTTTGGCGTACGTTAAGGAGCTTCTTTCTGTCGTACGTTGCCCGAGTTTCGATAACGTATTCCCACAAATGCCCGAGATCCAATTCCCTACGTCGAGAGCGAGAGCCCCCTGACCAGTGTCAATTAACCTCCCTCGAGGCCCGCTCGCATCTGCAAGCCAAAAATCGACCGAGCGCCTGCTCGTATCTGCAAAAACTCGCACGTGGGTGCACTCCAGAGTAGAGGTTCCACTGCACTTTTAACAACCCACACCTTCTAATCTCCAACCTACAAACTCTTGGCATAATATTCACTCCTCACATTTCTCTCACACACAACAACAATAACATTTCCACTGTCTGTCCCCAGTCTCCTCCTTGCTACAACATCTACAACCCATGCTTCACACCCATATAAGAGCATTGGTACCACTATACTCTCACACATTCTCTTCTTTGCTTCCATGTAAAATGTCCTTTGTCACAACCCACTTCCCCCCCCCTTTGTTAATTTTATGGTTCACTCCAATATTAAATCCAAACTTTCATTAACTAAATATTTTGTTACCCATATCTGTATAAATTACTAAATTTAAAAAGACAAACTTTTGTTTTTCTTTTTGGGCCACCCTGCCTTGGTGGGATATAGCCAGTTTGAAAAAAAATATTAAATAAATAAATAAAAGTATCACCTTGTTCTTTCCTCTCAACACACTTCAAATGAACACAACCAAAAATGCTACAAAAAAATTTTATTCAAAATAACATTTAATAATTGTGCACAAAAATATGGACCGTAAAAATACGACGTTTTATGTAGTTCCGCTGTCGCAGCCCAATGGTGCATGAACCGCTGTATGGCCTCTCATCGCTCGCCGACGTACTCGTTTACCGACGACTCGCAGTTGCGACGGGCTGTCCGAGTCGGTGCCCTACGATGACTCGGTTTGCAGAGACGGGAGGCGGGTCGTCTCGACGTTGACCGTCTCGATCTTCTTACGGCCTCTCGATACGCTAGCTTTCAAATTCTCCGAGACTATGTACTGTTACAAATTTGCATACTTGAATGTGCACCCCATACTACAAGATACAAATGCAACAACACTTCAAACAATCAAATAGAAAAATAACAATGCAAGTTCATTGTAAATTGGTTAGTGATGGACCTCATTATCGAGCAAACTCCAAGCCAACATATTTCATCAATAAATTTCTACTTAATCGTGCACCCCATAATACAAGATAAAAGTGCACCAGCACTAACAACAGAAAATGTATACAAAAATACAAGAAATACAAAACAACTTCACAATACAAACTTTAGTTGTTGTGTTCATCTGTGTTTACATTCTCAGTCTCTCGTGGCAGTTTAATTATGAAATGAATAAACTCGGCCGATCGTGACGACACTAACAGAGGTGTCGTTGGGGGTGGGGCGCCCCGAGTGACACCATTTAGGGAGTGACACCAAAGAGCCTCTAAAGAAGGTGACACTAAGAACATAAGGAGGAACACTGCAGCAGGCCTACTGGCCCATACTAGGAAGTGCTGCAGCAACATAAGAGAAAAATCCTTTGTTTCTATAGCCTATTATAGGGAAAATCAATGACGCCGTATGATAAACTACGATAAATCGATAATTTTATTTGTGATGTTTTGGAAAAACCCTTAATCGCCCTGGCATCACTATGATCAGTCATCAGTGACATTACATACTGTGTCTGCTGCACCGCCCACCAGTGAGTTTGGTCCAGGAGGTGTATATGTGGCTGGATTAAATAGACAAAGGGTCAGGTAATTATCACATTTTGAGCTTTACTTTTCCTTGAATGTCAAAATGGTATACAATACCGACAGGTTGGTAGATAAGACACATAGGCAACTTTATTCCGAAATAAAGTTGCCTAAATGTTGCCTTTACTTTTGCTTATTGGTGATATCAGTCATGTTCGTGAATCAAGATATATGAACGGGTGAGAACTGACATTCACGAAATGATGAAATAACCGTGGTACGTAAGAACATAAGAATGGAGGAACACTGCAGAAGGCCTACTGGACCATACAAGGCAGGTCCTCATCAAAACTACCCCTACCCAAAACTTTCCCACCACATGTATAAGAACAACTACTTGTACCACACCTCACTCAAAGCCTATATATACCCTCTGTGTCCATGTATTGTTTTCATCAGCTTGACAAAGTTCCTGGAAAGTGAAACGTTGCCCCTCTCTACTTTGCATTGGACTGAAGAAGCCATTGTGTAGCGAAATGTTTCCTTAATAAAGATTCCCATATGTTGCACAAGTGTCTCAATCTTCAACTTGTCAGTTTTCAAACCATTTATCACACTAGTGAATGTATATGCCACTGTACATAGGCTTGTGCTACATGGAAAAACCAAAACCTGTATCTGAGAGGTGGACATTAACATCAAGGAAAGGAAGCAAGGAATAAGATTCCACTTAAGAACATAAGAAAAGAGGAACACTGCAGCAGGCCTGTTGGCCCACTTTGTATTGTACTGATGAAGCCACACAGTGGCTACAGTCATGAGGCCAAAGAGCAAAGATGTCATCTACATACACAACTTTCCTTGTATGAGTGAATATCAAAATGGTATACAATACCAACAGGTTGGTATGTAAGACACATAGGCAACAGTTAGGCAACTTTATTCTGAACGTTTTGCCTACACAGTAGGCTTCTTCAGTTCTTCAGTCGAGTGCGTCTTAGACAGGGATGTTCAATGTCACCAAGGTTCTTTAATACATTTATAGATGGGGTTGTAAAACAAGTAAATGCTAGGGTGTTCAGGAGAGGGGGGGTGGGATTAAATTATGGGGAATCAAATACAAAATGGGAACTGACATAGTAGTTACTTTTTGCCGATGATACTGTGCTTATAGGAGATTCTAAACAAAAGTTGCAAAGGTTACTGGACAGGCTTGGGAGTGTGTGTAAAGGTGCAAAGTTGAAAGTGAACATAGAAAAGAGTAAAGTAATGAGGGCATCAAATGATTTACATGAAGAAAAATTGGACATTAAATTGGGGAGGAGTATGGAAGAAGTGAATCTTTTCAGATATTTGGGAGTTGACACGTTAGCGCATGAATTTATGAAGGATGAGGTTAATCGTAGAATTGATAAATGAAAAAAGGCGAGTGGTGCACCGACGAGTACGTGGAGACAAAAAATGTCATCGACGGAGGCAAAGAAGGGAATGTATGAAATTATAGTGTGTAGTACCAACACTCTTATATGGGTGTGAAGCTTGGGTTGTAAATGCTGCAGCGAGGAGGCAGTTGGAGGCAGTCGACATGTCCTGTCTAAAAGTAATGTGTGGTGTGAATATTACGCAGAAAATTCAGAGTGTGGAAATTACGACAAAGTGTGGAGTTAATAAAAGTATTACTCAGAGGGCTGAAGAAGGATTGTTAAGGTGGTTTGGTCATTTAGGGAGAATACATCAAAGTAGAATGACATGGAGAGCATATAAATCTGTAGGAGAAGGAAGGCGTGGTAGAGGTCGTCCTCGAAAAGGTTGGAGGGAGGGGGGTAAAGGAGGTTTTTCTGGGCGAGGGGCTTGGACTTCCAGTGAGCGTGCGCGAGCGTGTTAGACACGAGTGAATGGAGATGAATGGTACTTGGAACCTGACGAGCTGTTTGTTAGAGTGCGAGCAGGGTAATATTTATGAGGGATTTGGGGTAACCAATTGTTTTTTATATAGCCAGACTTGAGTCCTGGAAATGGGAAGTACAATGCCTGCACTTTAAAGGAAAGGTGGTTTGGGATATTAGCAGTTTGGAGGGATATGTTGTGTATCTTTATATATATATGCTTCTAAGCTGTTGTGTTCTGAGCATCTCTGCAAAAACAGTGATTATGTGTGAGTGAGCTCAGTGTTGAATGATGATCAAAGTATTTTCTTTTTGGGGATTTTCTTTCTCTTTTGGGTCGCCCTGCCTCGGTGGGAGACGGCCGACTTGTTGAAAAAAAAAAAAACATTAATAATCACTCTGGAGTGGTTTAAATGTGAGCTACCAAACCTGTACAAAATACGTATGACATTCAAACTACTCCTCAGTACGTAATTAATATTTTTATGATTATCATTAATATTATTAGTAGTACACTGTAGTATTATTTTATTATTATTATGAGGATTTTAAGCCATACGAGAACTTGGGATGTGGAAACGGGCAGTGCAGCGTCTCGGTGTCAAATATCTCGGTCTCCTTCCTACAGCCACTCCGTACATTAGCTTTCACTGTCTCCAAGACTACATATTTGTACAAAAGTCCACTTTATATGCATCCCATAATACAAGATGTCAGCAAAAAAGAACATCTTGACTTCACCTCAAGCAAGTGCCAAGAAACAAAGACTCTCGAGCTCGAGGTGAAAATGAAGATTATAGACGAGTATGAAGCTGGTTAGAAAGTACAAGTGATAGCCAATGACTTGAAGCTGGCGCATTCTACCATTCCCACTATCTTGAAGGATAGAGATAGAGTGAAAGAGGCAGTGAAACCATCGACGGGATTTACAGCCGTAATAACTGGGCAACGGAAGAGCGATAGAGACGCCCGAATAAATAAAAACTGACATGTGTGGAGAAGAATTAGAGGGCGTGCTAGGCTCCATGAGAGAGAGAGAGGGACAAGGCACCAGCAATTTCTCTCAGTAACTCATGCTTCACCATCATGTACAAATGTGTAAGCTCACAGCACTATAAAATATTGTATAATTATCATCGATAAACATTATCTACCCATCATAGGTATAAAATAAATAATTTACAAGCATGATAAAGACATCCAAATGAATAAAAACTGACATTACATAGAGAGGTACTGAAGGTTAGAAAACCAGGATAAAAACAAAATAACCTTCACCATAACAAAAAACATTACACGCCTCGAGGGTAGCAATACAAACTCACTCTTACCCTATGCAAAGACTGAAAAAGTGCATTTTTCTCAAACAACTTATTTTCCCACACAATTGGCCATGCACACATCTCCTGGAATATCTTGGAAGTATGTAAATCGTCGACCTATTTCGCATTGTATTACCGTCAATAAAACGGATTGAGAGGAATTTCCCGGCAAACGTAAAACTGAACATTTCAATTTTGGCCAGTGACATTTTTCAAGTGTCAGTGAGGGGCGATTCCTCGATTGGGACAAATCTTTACCGACAGGGTCTTGGGCCCTTGACTTTGCCATTACTCGGTCGTTAATTGAGGAGAAGCTGTATTAAAAATACACCTACCGTCCGACTTACGACCTGCTCAACTTACGACCACTTCGACTTACGACCGTGTTTTTTTATGCCAAATTTCTGGGAAATAAACCACTATTTGTGTTGTACACAGTGTTTATCCTAAACCTTACAGTATAAAATACAGTGGACCCCGGTTAAACGATTTTAATCCGTGCAAGAGGGCTCATCGTTATGCGAAATAATCGTTATGCGAATGAATTTTCCCCATAAGAAATAATGGAAATAAAATTAATCCGTGCAAGACGCCCAAAGTATGACAAAAATTTTTTTATCTACCACATGAAATGTTAATTTTAATACACACAAACTGAAAAGGCATGCACAATTAAATGACACTTACTTTTATTGAAGATCTGGTGATGATTGATGGGATGGGAGAGAGGGGAGAGCATTATCTTCTTACTGTTTAGAAGGGGAATCCCCTTCCATTAGGACTTGAGGTAGTAAGTCCTTTCTTGGGGTTACTTCCCTTCTTTTTTTAATGCCACTAGGGCCAGCTTCAGAGTCCACTGGACTTCTTTCGCACAAGATATCTGTCCATAGTGGCCTGTACCTCTCGTTCCTTTATGACTTGCCTAAAGTGTTTCACAACATTGTCAGTGTAATAATCACCAGCACGGCTTGCAATAGCTGTGTGAGGGTGATTTTCATCCATGAAGGTTTGCACTTCAAGCCACTTAGCACAGATTTCCTTTACTTTGTAGTAGGCAACTTCTTCAATTTCTCTGTCCCCTCCTCTGAACCAGTTTCCCCAGGTCTGGCCTCTTGCTCTTGAAGTTGATCTATCAGCTTCATCAGTGGTTAGTTCTTCATTGTCCTCCTCCACCAACTCTTCCCACATCCTCCCCACTAACCTCCAACCCCAAGGACTTTCCCAATGCCACAATGGATTCCTCACTGGCACAGGATTCTCAGGGTTAGCCTCAAACCCTTCAAAATCCCTTTTGTCTACACATTCTGGCCACAGTTTTCTTCCAAGCAGAGTTCAAGGTCCTCTTAGTCACTTCCTCCCAAGCCTTACCTATAAGGTTTACACAATTGAGGATATTAAAGTGATCTCTCCAAAACTCTCTTAGAGTCAGTTGAGTTTCTGAGGTCATTACAAAGCACCTTTCAAACAGAGCTTTTGTGTACAGTTTCTTGAAGTTGGAAATAACCTGCTGGTCCATGGGCTGCAGAGAGGAGTGGTATTAGGAGGCAAAAACTTCACCTTAATGAAGCTCATGTCCCCATAAAGTCGCTCTGCCACGTCTGTAGGATGACCAGGGGCATTGTCTAACACCAGGAGGCACTTAAGTTCTAATTTCTTTTCAGTTAGGTAATCTTTCACATTGGGGGCAAATGCATGGTGTAACCAGTTATAGAAAAAATTCCCTAGTGACCCATGCCTTACTGTTTGCCCTCCACAGCACACACAAATTATCCTTGAGGACATTCTTTTGCCTGAACGCTCTGGGAGTTTCAGAGTGATACACTAATAAAGGCTTCACTTTGCAATCACCAGTAGCATTGGCACACATCAACAAAGTAAGCCTGTCTTTCATAGGCTTATGTCCTGGGAGTGCCTTTTCCTCCTGAGTAATGTAGGTCCTGCTTGGCATTTTCTTCAGAACAGGCCTGTTTCATCACAATTAAACACTTGTTCAGGTTTCAGTCCTTCAGTTTCTATGTACTCCTTGAATTCCTGCACATATTTTTCAGCCGCTTTGTGTCCGAACTGGCAGCCTCACCATGCCTTATCACACTATGGATGCCACTACGCTTCTTAAATCTCTCAAACCAACCTTTGCTGCCTTAAATTCACTCACATCACTAGTTGCAGGCATTTTTTTAATTAAATCCCATGCAACTTCCTAGCCTTTTCACATATGATCGCTTGAGAGACGCTATCTCCTGCTATCTGTTTTTTCATTTATCCACACCAATAAGAGTCTCTCAACATCTTCCATCACTTGCGATCTTTGTTTCGAAAACACAGTTGAACCTTTGGCAAGAACAGCTTTCTGATTGTCTTTCTGGTGCCCACAATAGTAGCGATGGTTGATTGGGGTTTCTTGTACAGCTTGACTAGGTCGGCTATACCACTCCACTTTCATACTTATCAATTATCTCTTTCTTCATTTCTATAGTAATTCTTACCCTTTGAGGTGTAGGTTGGCACTAGAAGCTTTCTTGGGGCCCATGGTCACTTATTTTCCAGAAACAGCACCGAAAATACTGTAATAATACGAAATATTCCGAGTGTATGCTTGGATGTTACCGCGGAGGCTGGCTGGTAAACAATGGGACGGCTGGCACATGTGAGGCTGGCTGAGGGCACATTGGACGCGTCTCGGACGAAAATCGTAAGCGGGTTTTTAATCGTATGCGCGGGCAAAATTTTGCGATAAAAGTAATCGGTATGCGGAAAAATCGCTATGTGATGCCATCGTTATGCGGGGGTCCACTGTACAGTACTAACAGCATAAAAAGTAAAGTAAAACATGAAATACCAAAATAAAACAATAAAATAAAGTCATTACAAAAATGTTTTGTTGACATCCAGTAGTAAAGTTCGACTTACGACCATTTCGACTTACGATCGGTTTCTCAGAACCGAACTCGGTCGTAAGTTGGATGGTAGGTGTATACACCAGACTTGTAAGGTCAGAGTGCTTATTACCTGTAGAAATACAAACAAAATACTTGATATTTCTGGTTTCTTATCACCTCTTCCCAAGCTTGATAAACACCCCTGAAGCTGGCTGGCTGGCTGCTTGACGCTGTGGAAAGTGCCGCGGTTACCGTGAAGAACGAAGATGCCTCGCTTCTCTGCTGCCTTGCATTAGTCGGGCCAAAATTGTATTCGCATCCATAAACGTACAACTTGTCTGAAAAAAATGTGAATCTGACAAACTACAACATCTATAATTAACATTATACAGAGCAGTAATTTTCCAATGAGAGCAAAAATTCAAATGTTATATAAAGTGGATTTTATGTTTCAATGGACAGGTGGGGAGTTATGGTTTAGATAGACATTCACTCTGTCAAGTACCAGACAGCCCCACTTATACATCAGGTTAGGTTCCAGGCTACTGCTGTAAAGCAAAAATATCTGTAAAACCATAGTCCTTTTTTTTTTTACTTTCAAATGCATATAAAAGCCTGACAACATGTCTATACTATCATATATTAAATGGGCAATAAAAATAGGTAGTAGGTTGGTAGGCAGCAACCGCCCAGGGAGGTACTACCGTCCTGCCAAGTGAGTGTAAAACGAAAGCCTGTAATTGTTTTACATGATGGTAGGATTGCTGGTGTCCTTTTTTCTGTCTCATGAACATGCAAGATTTCAGGTACGTCTTGCTACTTCTACTTACACTTAGGTCACACTACACATACATGTACAAGCGTATATATACATACTCCTCTGGGTTTTCTTCTATTTTCTTTCTAGTTCTTGTTCTTGTTTATTTCCTCTTATCTCCATGGGAAAGTGGAACAGAATTCTTCCTCTGTGCCCCATGCATGTTGTAAGAGGCAACTGAAATGCCGGGAGCAAGGGGCTAGTAACCCCTCCTCCTGTATATATTACTAAATGTAAAAGGAGAAACTTTCGTTTTTCCTTTTGGGCCACCCTGCCTCGGTGGGATATGGCCGATGTGTTGAAACAAGAAGATATAAATTTGTGGACTGTATATTAAAAATAATAAATGGTTATATATATATACACAATTACATAACAGAAGGAAAATAAATCTTAATATCACTCACCAATTTGACTGATATTAAGTTGTATCATACTCAGAAAAACCTCACTAACTAAATTTATGAAAACACTGGCCAGAATTATACACAAATCTAGAGAGCTTATCTGAGGTTCCTGAAACTGTCTTGTCCAGTCGTCTGATATCTCAAGTTATGCAGGAATGCATGTCCAACAATTTTGCCTCCTATTTGAGAGGTGTCAGCCCAATTTTAACCTCTATAGCACGAAAATTCCTTCCCATTACACTAACATTGTATCCAATTCAAAACCAAGATGGTGAATCCCCTGCCCAGATGCAGGCTTTCCGTTTTCTATGACATAAATATTATTAAATACAGTATGGCCATCTATTTACATATAAATACTGAATTTCTGGAAAATATATACAGTATTTTCCACACTGCGGCCGGCCGGAGTTCGTTGCTAAACGATTCAAATTACTCCTTCCTTTAGGAGACGATTCCAGCCAGTTCTGGCTTGAGTGGCTGTTCTCCTAGTAGGTCTTACTACGATTTCATTTTCCGGCATCACTTGGTCTGCGTTATCTTCCATATCACTCGTGTCACTTTCCCTTAGATTTTCATTTACGTTTGATTGAACACCTAATTCCAAGGGAATCAATTTATTAATTGTGCGTAAACTTTCCTGGCCACGACACAACACTTTGACATTCCTGACAACACTTTGTGCATCTGGTACAATGTCAATACTTTTCCCAGAGGCCACAATGTTCGATGTTGTTCAGTGTCAATTAACACAATGTCACCTGGTTGAATGTTCTGTCAATTTACTGCCTCTGTCACACCATAAAAGTGTTCACGTAGTGTAAGAAGATATTCCTTACGCCACACATTAGACCAATGATCAATTACTTTATTTAACATTTTAAATTTATCACACAACACTGCCGCATCATTGTAATCTTCATCACTTTCTTCCGAATTATCTCTATAGACAGGAGTAGCTTCCAATTTCCTTCCACATATTAGGTGAGAAGGTGTTAATACATCTGCATCAGGTGTATCACTCATGTACGAGAGAGGCCTATTATTTATACGATTTTCTGCCTCCACTAACACTGCACGGAATTCTTCCAAATTAATTCTCTTCCGGTGTAGTACTTTGCGGAGACACCTCACCACTGTGCCTATCAGTCTTTCGTACAGCCCCCCTGCCAAGGGGCTCTAGGAGTAATAAATTTCCAGGTACACCCTCACTGGGTTAACAGAGATTGAACATCGTTACTATTATTTAATTCTATCAAGTGTTGAGCACCTGCTACAAAATTTGTGGCATTATCCGAAATCATCAACCTCGGACAGGATCTCCTAGCTGCAAATTTTCGAAACAGCTGTATAAACTGTTCTGCAGACAAGTCCTGTGCCACTTCTAAATGAACTGCCCTAGTAGCAGTACAAGTGAACAAACAAACATACACTTTCAGTGGAACACCATTTGACGTACCTGTTAAAATTATTGGACCACTATAGTCTAAACCTGTTACATCAAATGGTTTCACTAATTGTACACGCTCCTTTGGCAATGGTGGAGGACCTGGGTACATATAGGATCTGGCATCCACACGGCGACGTATTACACAAGATTTAATCACCCTTTTCACACTTTGCCGTCCTTGTGGAATCCAGAAAGTTTCCCTAATACAATTTAAGGTATCTTGTACCCCACCATGCATTACATTTTTATGGGCATTTAGAACAATTAAATTTGTTAGATGATGAGTTTTGGGCAGTAAGATAGGGTGTTTAGCATAATCATCCAATTCAGCATTTTGTAACCTACCTCTGCACCTAATTACATTGTTCTCTAAATACAGCCCCAGTTTCTCTATTATGGAACCTTTCACAATTTTTCTTTCCATCATCAATTTAATCTCATTTCTATAGATTTCCTCCTGTACCCTCTTTATCCAATATTCAAAAGGATGTGAAAACTTAAATGAAATATTCATCTTGTTTAGAGATTTAAACACCAACTTAGTTACATTGATTAGTTTGGGTAAAGAAGAATACCTATTTATATCAATGGATAAAGAAAGACAAACTATTGGAGCGGTGGTCACAGTAATTTCAACAGGAGCAACATACGCCTTTTCTACAGGCCAATTAGTTTTATTTACCAACCAGCTCGGTCCTTTAAACCATGATACGGCATTTACAAATTTAGCATAAGGTAAACCTTGAGACAAGAAATCAGCTGGATTCTCCTCACCAGGTATATGATTAAATGTTAACATATGCTGACCCAAACTATTATACTTCTCTTGCATCTGATAAATTTCAGCGACTCTGTTTTGTACGTACACAATTTTACTGTTTCCATTGCGAATCCATAGTAAGGATACCTCATTATCAGACCAAATTACAGTGTCGCTAATATTTACCTCCTGCAACTTATTTCTTATATCATTAGCAAATTTGACACCTACATAAATGGCTGTTAATTCCAACTGAGGCAAGGTACGTGATTTAATTGGAGACACTTTAGCCTTACCTGGAGTTTACCTGGAGAGAGTTCCGGGGGTCAACGCCCCCGCGGCCCGGTCTGTGACCAGGCCTCCTGGTTGATCAGAGCCTGATCAACCAGGCTGTTGCTGCTGGCTGCACGCAAACCAACGTACGAGCCACAGCCCGGCTGATCAGGAACTGACTTTAGGTGCTTGTCCAGTGCCAGCTTGAAGACTGCCAGGGGTCTGTTGGTAATCCCCCTTATGTGTGCTGGGAGGCAGTTGAACAGTCTCGGGCCCCTGACACTTATTGTATGGTCTCTTAACGTGCTAGTGACACCCCTGCTTTTCATTGGGGGGATGGTGCATCGTCTGCCAAGTCTTTTTGCTTTCGTAGTGAGTGATTTTTGTGTGCAAGTTCGGTACTAGTCCCTCTAGGATTTTCCAGGTGTATATAATCATGTATCTCTCCCTCCTGTGTTCCAGGGAATACAGGTTTAGGAACCTCAAGCGCTCCCAGTAATTGAGGTGTTTTATCTCCGTTATGCACGCCGTGAAAGTTCTCTGTACATTTTCTAGGTCGGCAATTTCACCTGCCTTGAAAGGTGCTGTTAGTGTGCAGCAATATTCCAGCCTAGATAGAACAAGTGACCTGAAGAGTGATATCATGGGCTTGGCCTCCCTAGTTTTGAAGGTTCTCATTATCCATCCTGTCATTTTTCTAGCAGATGCGATTGATACAATGTTATGGTCCTTGAAGGTGAGATCCTCCGACATAATCACTCCCAGGTCTTTGACGTTGGTGTTTCGCTCTATTTTGTGGCCAGAATTTGTTTTGTACTCTGATGAAGATTTAATTTCCTCATGTTTACCATATCTGAGTAATTGAAATTTCTCATCGTTGAACTTCATATTTTTTTTCTGCAGCCCACTGAAAGATTTGGTTGATGTCCACCTGGAGCCTTGCAGTGTCTGCAATGGAAGACACTGTCATGCAGATTCGGGTGTCATCTGCAAAGGAAGACACGGTGCTGTGGCTGACATCCCTGTCTATGTCGGATATGAGGATGAGGAACAAGATGGGAGCGAGTACTGTGCCTTGTGGAACAGAGCTTTTCACCGTAGCTGCCTCGGACTTTACTCTGTTGACGACTACTCTCTGTGTTCTGTTAGTGAGGAAATTATAGATCCATCGACCGACTTAGACATAACAAGAGAAATTACACTATTACATTGAAGGTAAGCAACTGCTCCATATGCCAATTTTGAAGCATCACAAAAAATGTGGAGTACATTTTTCCCATTTGGATTGGCCACCTGGCATGGTAACTCCAACATTGTAATTTTCTCATAATCACCAATTAATTCATCCCACCTGTTAATGAATTCCTCAGGTAGAATTTCATCCCAAGCACATTTAAGTTTCCATGCTTCCTGAATTAATAATTTCCCTCTTATAGTAAGGGGCGACACTAAACCTAGTGGATCAAAAATTGGGAAACTTCAGCAAGCAAAACTCTCTTAGTTAATTTATTGGGCACACTATAATTATTAGGTTTTAACATTAACAAATCTCTCTCGGTATCCCAATTTAAACTCAGTACATTACTACATTTTGGCACTTCATCTCCAGGGTAATCTTTACTTATTTTGTC